TAAATGTAAGCATAAAATTATAATGTATTAAGTATTAAAAAATTTTTCTAGCCCTGGCTATCAACCTCTGCTAAATTCTTATAATTTTGCTGAGTCCAGGTTTGCAAAAAGTTGCATTTTTAGCTGGGGCCGGGGCCCTGGTCACAATGTTTTGTAAAATTTATTTACATTTTCAAAAGATTATTTTAAAATAATAAAATTCTGAAAAATTGTCTGCCAAATGTCTGGAGGTTTCTACAGACATTTGGCAACTAGAATTAACAAGCACCTTAAAAGTTATAGACAATCTCATATATTTAAACACTTAAATTTATCTATTAATTTTAAAAATCTGGCTAACTGTGATTCTTTTGAAATTTTGGATAATGCCCCAACAAAACACAAATTGAAAATAAAAAAAGCCGACCACATTAAATGGAAAAGTCCCTCAATTAATAAACAAACTTCCCATTAAGCTATAAACTTATCTATTTAATTTTAGTGTCAGTTTATTACTATCTTTTTTTTTTTTTTTACAGTTAGTTATTTGCCAACTTATTTTGTAATAAATATATTGGTTTATTATGTAAATTTTTGTTCGTTAATATTTCTGTGTAAAGATTTTTATTTTTCAATTTTAATTTATTTCAGAGTTTTATTATTGCAAAAAATGTCAAGAATAAATATGTATATATATGTATATTATGTATATATATGTATATATATATATATATATATATATATATATATATATATATATATATATATATATATATATATATATATATATATATATATATATATATATATATATATATATATATATATATATATATACAGTGGTGTACAGTTGAGTTTTGACACTTACAGGCATTGTGCAAACTCCAAACTTTTGTATGTTCATGCTTATGTCAAATGAGAATGCTTTGCAAAGAGTTGCGGTGATTAGAGCTTGGGGACAAAAAAAAAACAATTTTTGGGCCCACCCAGCCCTTAAAGTGGGAGCAACAAGTTTATAAAATGATTTTTTTAGTATTTTTATCTAAGTTTATATTCATCACCAAATTTTAAATTTCATGCAATAACATTTTTGTGTTTAGTTTTTATGACCCTACAATGTTTACAGCCCCCTCAAAATGAGGGGGGTTAAAACTTTATATGGTCATAATTTTCAAAAAATAAGAGATTATTGCATGAAATTTGAAATTTGTTGATGAATATATACTTAGATAAAAATACTAAAGAAATTATTTTATAAACTTGTTGCTTCCACATAAAGGGCTGGGTGGGCCCAATATACATATATATATATATATATATATATATATATATATATATATATATATATATATATATATATATATATATATATATATATATACATATATATATATATATATATATATATATATATATATATATATATATATATATATATATATATATATATATATATATATATATATATATATATATATATATATATATATATATATATATATATATATATATATATATATATATATAGTCTTGCATGGTAGTCACAAAGTTTTTCCCATAAACTGTTGTTTTAAAGAGCGCGTTAATAAACCTAACCAGAAAATATTAAAATTTTTTTAAATGATAGACTGCCTGCCCAAACCAAACCCTCAGTCGATGTAGCAGCATTCCCTTGCGAGTCAGGCTATTTGTCAGTTGATGTAGCAGCACTCCCTTGAACAATAGTTAAAATTATTTTATTTTTTTATTTTTTACTATTTAAAAAACAAAGCAAAGTTAAATGCAAAGAGAAACAAAATTATTCACAAACATAATTACTTACATTCTTCTTTAGAGTCCTCTGCAGTCATGAAATTAAATCCTTCACATACTTCTTAATCTATTAGTAATTATTTAGTAAAATAAATATAAACAAAAATATGTAAAAACAAAAATGTAGAATAAGTGCAAACAGATTACAATATATATCTAGGCAATAATAATACCATAAACAGATTCAAAATATTACTTATTCCAAAAAAAAATAATAAAATAGTTAATTTAATATAGTACTTCACCGTTAATATAAAAATATAATAGTTTTTTTATTCATATAAAACAATTAAAATAGTAATAAGTACTGTAAAATTTAATAGCCTCCAATTACTTTAAATCTTTTAAGTCTATTGTAGGAATCATTGATTGGAAAATTATTATAGGTAGCTTTTATTGCATGAACCCAGTTGGCCAAAATAACCATTCATCTTTTACCGAACAACTGCCTCTGCTTCAAACCTGTTTTTAAAACAAACTAAAGCCCAAAATTGTGAAGCCATTATAATAGGTAATCTAAACAGGCTTTTTTTTTTCTTCACACACACATATATATATATATATATATATATATATATATATATATATATATATATATATATATATATATATATATATATATATATATATATATATATATATATATATATATATATATATATATATATATATATATATATATATATATATATATATATATGCATATATGTAAGTAATAATATGTAAAGTATAAATAAAAACGGGAACATGTAAATAATGTATATTTATATATGTATATACTATATACATGTATATATATATATACATTATTTACATATATATATATATATATATATATATATATATATATATATATATATATATATATATATATATATATATATATATATATATATATATATATATATATATATATCGTCACATTAGAATTATAGGGTTCTATCTGCTTTTTTTTATGTTGTGAGAACTTAACTTTCGATATTTATTTAATACATGTTTTACAGCTGTTATTCATTATGTTATCTATATTTCATTATTTCACATATTTTATATTAAACCTCTTAAAAAATGATATATAATATATCATTTTTTAAGTGGTTTGTTTTTATTATTTATTATTATTTAAAACTTTGATTGTTAAATTCTTTCAACATAAAACAAGGCAGACAGGACCCTATAATTCTCATGCGACGATATATATATATATATATATATATATATATATATATATATATATATATATATATATATATATATATATATATATATATATATATATATATATATAAATGAGTATATATTCTTTACGTGTATAAACATAGGTGTCATGTTTGGAAAATGTTTACGAGTGAGACTTAAATAATTTTTATACCACTGGATATTTGCCCACTAAAATACTTTTATCTACTAAAAAAGTTTTTTAACAATTTATTACTCTGACAACTAACTTTAAAATGTCCAAATTTGGCCACTGACTGAGCTAAAATTTATTTTGTATAGATATACTTTTATATATTTATGTGTGTATTGTACACTTAATTTTCTTTAAAGACTTAATATAGTCTGACTTATTATGTTTTATTAATTTTGATAATATTTTATACATCTGAACCTTATTAAAACTAAGTACTATTTCTAACTAAGAAATAGCATATTTAAAAAAGTGAAGCATTTTATTAAAATGGTCAACTTAAAATAAATAAAACATTGACAAAAATAAATAATATTTTAAATATTGGTTTACGTCAAAAACATTTTGAACTCGAAGTGAAAACTATATTTTTAAAAATTTAATGTGTTTTTTAAAACATTAGATTTATTTTGAAAATATGTGAAGAAACTTTAAATAACTATCAAAAGTAAATTTATTATTGGATGATTGTTTGTAGTCACTACGCTACAATGTAGTGTAAAGTAGTAAAAATGTTAAGAAGTTTTTATTTGAAAAATGAAAAATTAAATTTATGAGTATGATTTATTAATAATGAGTATAACTTATTAATAATGAGTATAAATAATTAACAATTATAATATAATAAAATTATATTGTAACTTATAAAATAAACTTCTTAAAATAATATTTTACGTTAGGGATTTATTTTAATAGTTGTTAATTGTTAATGTTAAGGCTTAAAGTTAAGCTATTTAGCTAACTTTTATATTTGTAGACTATAGTAAAAGCTTAGCTTATATGTTATAAAATTTAAGCTAAGTTTATACTCTATTCTACAAATATAAAAGTTACCTAATAAAAATAAAGGTATAATATAAGATATTAAAACCAAGTACCTGGCATGTTTTAAGATTACACTTTTTTGTTAAACTTTATTTATAATTCGTATATATTTTTAATTATTTAGAAGCTTAAAAAAATGTACTTTTAAATTTTATTTCAAAAATAAAATTTAAAAGTACTTTTTGGAAATATTTTGAAGTTTCAAAGAAAGATAATCATTTTTATATTTGCCTACTATGCAAAGCATTACTTTCTAGAGTTTTTATAGGTACTATGCAAAGCATTACCTTCTAGAGGTGGTTGCTAGAAGATTGTCCTAAAACATTCACCACTAGTGTAATTAGACGTCATTTAAAAAACAAGCACTTTACAAAATATAAAATAGCTGAAAAAGAGTCTGACAAAAAAAATTGAAACAATTACATCAACTACAGCCTCTACATCAAGTGATTCTGAATTAAAAAAACAATTAACATTACTGGAGAGTCCTAATAAAAAAAAGCTGTGGGATGTAAATGATCATAGAACTATCAAAATTCACAATCACATTGGAGAAATGATGGCGTTGGACATTCAACCATATTTAATTGTAGAAGATCTTGGTTTTAGAAACTTAATTGAAAAGCTGTGTCCTAATTATCAAATACTTAGTAGAAGATATTTTAGTGAAAACATTATTCCACAAATATAAAATAAACTATTTAGTTCTATCAAGAGTAATATATCTGCTGCCATTCATATCTCTCTTACAACTGACATTTGGACAGCAAATAGTTCAAATGTTGCCTTCATAAGCATGACAGCACACTGGCTCAGTAATGAATTTTCCCAGTACAGAGCAGTACTCAGAGTTATGCATTTTTCAGAAAGTCACACAGGAAAAAAAATAAGTGAGTATTAAAATAAAGGTTTAGTAAGTTTTGAAATTCCACACACAAAAACTCATATTGTTTTACAAGACAATGCTGCCAATATGGTAGCTGATGTAAGAGGCAGTGGTTTTAGATCAATGCCATGTTTTATACATACAATACAGTTATGCATACATGACTCAATTTTGTCGCAAAAATTTGTTAAGGATATTTTAGCTTGTTGCAGATGTCTGGCAACTCATTTTCACCATTCGCCAATAGCAGCAGCAAAATTAGAATCAATTCAGGAACAACTTGGTACAAATAAGCACAGGTTAATCCAAGATATTACTAAAAGATTAAACAGTTCTTATGATATAATTGAAAGGATGCTTGATCAAAAAATTCCTGTGGCAATTTATACAGCTGATCATTCTACCCAATCAACACTAAATTCATTTCAATGGGGCTTATTAGATAAAGTGTTGTATATTTTAGAACCATTTAAAACTTTAACCATTAATTTCAGTAAACATGAATCATATTTGTCAGATGTTATTCCTTCAATTATGGCTCTGGAAGAATTTTTTAATCAAGCATTAGTATGTGAGGCTTTTTTAACAATAAATACTTTAGTTGAACATTTAAGTGGGTCAGTAGACAAAAGATTGGTTTCATATTTACATGATAAATATTCATGTCTTTCCACTTTTTGTGACCCTAGATATAACTTGACATATAAAAAGGAAGACAAGGATATAATAAAAAATTGGATAAATGAACAGATGCAAGAAATGCGACAAAGTAATTTAGAACTTGAATCCTCTGATTCTGATTTTGACGAATTTTTTAGTACAGGTCACATCATTTACGAACCCAATAGAAACAGACTATCACCAGAAAGTGGCAAAAAACTAATGTTTATTCATTATAACAACAAATGATAATTGATTTTCACTCATGTTTTTAATGTTTTATTTTTTCAAAATTACGAGCAACTTTCTTTGTAAAAGATTTTTTTTTTAACACAGCAGCAATAGGCGCCACTTAAAACGGACGTTTTTATCTGTTGTTTAAAGTTTATTTTATATTATTATCTTTTTGCGATTTTTCCAAAATATAAAATTTGCTTCCCGACGGGCATTTGTTTTTAAAAGTTACGTTCTAAATGTGTTTTAAACGTCTTTTAAACGTCTTTTAAACATTAATGTTTAAAAGATGTTTAAAAGACATTTAAAATACATTTAGATCGTAACTTTTAAAAACAAATGCCCGTCGGGTTCTTGCATGAATTTTATAACTTAAGTTTAATTATTATTATTATTGTATTGGGTTGTAACATAAGTTCGTAGAGTTTTTTCATAAAGATTTATTTGAACAAAAAACAATAATTATAATAATAAATTAATCAATTATATATTCTCCGTTACTGTTTACGACCTCCTCCCATCTCTTGACCAATTTGTTGATGCTGTTTCGCCAAAAATTGGTCGGTCTGGTGTCAAAGAAGTTGTTGAGCCAGTTTTTAAGATCCTCTTCGCCATCAAAGGTAGCACCCCTCATTTGATTTGATAGAGAGCGGAAAAGGTGATAGTCAGTAGTTGCAAGATCCGGAGAGTACGGTGGATGCTGAAGAACCTCCCATTCAAGCTCTTGGAGTGCTGTTTTGACGACTTAGGCAATATGGGGCCTGGCATTGTCGTGGAGCAAGATGACTTGACCTTGTCTATCGGGTTTTTTCAGCCGAATAGCCTCATTTACATGGTTCAGCTGGACAATGTAGACCTCCTTGTTGACAGTGGCGTTTCGTTCTAGCATTTCCCAGTGCACCATGCCTTTCCAGTCCCAACAAACGCAGATCATGGCCTTTCTTGGGTGAAGATCTTGCTTGACTTTCGGCTTCGGCGTCTCTCCTGGGGCTACCCACTACTTTCTTTGCTTCACATTGACGTACAGACACTATTTTTCATATCCCGTGATGATTCGATACAAAAAGCGCTGTTTGTGTTCATGTGTTGCTCGGTGGCGGGCAAGATGTTAAGCGGCAATTTGAAGGCGTTTTTCTTTGTTTTCTTCGTTGAGCTCGTGAGGTACCCATGCTCCGAGTTTTTGAGTAAAACCAATTGATTGAAGGTGGCGAGAGATTGCACTGATGTTCATTTTTTCAGCCAATTCACGAGTTGTTTGGCGACCATCTTTCTTCAATAGTGCCTTCAGATGCTCTTCGTCGAATTTTGCAGGTCGTCTGCTTCGAGGCGTGTCTTCAAGATCAAAGTCGCCATTTTTAAACTTTGCGAACCATTTTTGTGCAATAGACACACCTAAGACACCTTCCCTGTACACACTTCATATGTCCCGAGCGGCTTCAGCTGCTTTTTGACCTCGATGAAAAGCAAAGAAAAGCAGATATTTAAAATGCTGATTTTTTCCTCCTGGGTATTCCATTTCTGAGCCAGAAAAAAGACGAACAATTAAGTTATCCAAAAATACAAATAAAACCGTTTTGTAGACGAGAAAGAGTACTTTCGAATAAATGTATACACATGCTAAAAAACAAAACAAATCGTTGTAAAATAACTCTAACGCAAAACTCTACAAACTTATGTTACAACCCAATATATAAAAGGATAAAATTAACTAAAATATTGCTCAAATAAAAGGATTTTTTATTTTACACTTATACTAGTACTATTTTTTCTAAATAATGGAAACTAGTTTTATGTAATACATTCGGTTTTAAGTAATACATGCGATCAAATTAAATTCATTCTAAATTGAAAAAACTTGATGTAAATCTAACGTACTGATGTGTTCTATTGAAAAACATATTCTTACTTACTATGCGTAATAGGTAAGAATCGGGTTTTCAATAAAAATCCATATCTATTGGTACTATAGCTATTTAGGCTGAGTTATGATGATTTGATGATGTTAATTTCCGAATTAGCATTTTTACCAAATGTTCGGTGCATCCCTAATTATAAGTTTTTAGGATTTTGGAGCCCTAATGACAATGGGGGAGGGGGGCAGACCCTCTAACCGCGGCACTGGCCTACAAAAATTTATTGATCCGTCGCTAGTAAGTATCTTCACTTTTATTTTATATATTTATTATAAAGAAGAGCACAACTTTGGAGCACATCAAACCATATTGCACTTATGCATTTTTGCGCTTATGCTTGCACTTCACACTCATATTATTTTGCAATTACTTCGCCTTTACAAAACAAAAAATTCATATCTATGCTGTTTAGATTTATACAAATTTGCTGGTATGAAAATCAAATTTATCAAATGCAAACTCTATAGAATTTTTGTAATGTAGAACTCCTTCTGATTAGAATTTTAGTCTTAATAGGAATTATATGGATTAGACTATTTAATTACATAAAATCATGAGCACAGGGTCTATCAGAGAAAGCCACAGTTAAAGCTAAAAAGTTGTCTTTTCTTCAAAGATAAATATTTCTGTTGTATGCACGTGAAACAAATATTTTCAATATGAAAGTCGTTTCACGAGGTAAGAACTAATTAAAAAACAAAAATATTACTAAGTCATTAATTATAAATGTTTTTTTTAAAATTAATTTAATACAGAAATTTTTTTATAAAATTGTAAATTTGCTTTAAAAATAAAGATAAGTTGCGAATTCTAAGACATTCATTATTTACACTGTGTTTGCACTTATATAGTATTACTTTTGTAGTTTAATGTTTAAATACATCTACTAGTATTAGTACTAGCTTAGTACTAGTACCAGCTCCATATTTGAGCCGTTTATATGACAGTTGCAAAATGTTGTTATTCAGACATCTTGAAAAATAAAGTAAAGTTATTTAATTATGAGCTACATTTGTACAATTTAATTATAATCGATGTCTAAAAGCATTATAAAAAATAGAAAAAGGTAGAAAACAACGCTTTCTCCAACTCAGCCAGATGAATAGCTTAAAAAGACAGTGATAGCCACACCACTATTACCATTTTCCAATCTTCAAGAAATGATTACATTCCTTTTTTTTTCTTGTTTTATATTTTAAACTGAATGTTTATAAACATTCAGTTTAAAAAATAACTATAGTAATTTTTTATGACATTGTTAATCTAAAGAAATGTTTTCATTTAAAAAGTTTCAAATTTCATGATTAAATTAAGAAAAAATTACATATAAATCAAAACACAATCATTGTAAATATTAGGTATCCATAGCAACCAAATGTGTAGATGTTTTTTAACAATTTTAAGTATTTATTAAGTGAATTGATAAATAAATACAGACATAAATCATGCATAAATTAATTATTAAAATAAAAGTTGTATTTATATTGTAATAAAAGTAATTTATTTCAAATATTGTTATTATACTAAGCTGTGGCTGACTTAGCTTTTATAATTACAAAGCTAACATGGTACTTATGCCAAAAGATTGCACATGATCTTAATACACGGACATGAGGTTGTACGAAGAATGTTTATGCCCAATGTCATACTCTCTAATGAGGAATAGGAAACAAAGACTTTAAACGTTTTCGTAAAAAATACACAAGCAAATGCAGCCGTTAAAAAACAAACTGTAATGTATTATGTCGACTTTTCGGTCATCAGATCGGTAATCATATTGTCCTCATTACATGATTTATTATTTTATGCATGTTTTTAAAAACTGTTTATGTATTTCAAATTGTCAATATTCTATTGCACTATTTTTTTTTTTTTTTTTTTATTAATTATTTTTTTTAGTTTTTTTTTATTAATGACTTTAATTAAGTTAGTTACCTAAATTTCTTTAATAGTTATTAAAAATAGGACTGTTGAAAATTCGATAAAATTTTTTTCAAAAACCAAACTATCTGTGTGTAAGTAAGGAAAGTATCTGGTTGTTAAGCAACATCTATACTAAGTAAAAAATTATTACTTTTATATAAATTGCGGCCTTGTATTGGCGCTTATGCCAAATTTAGTAAATATAGCACTTGTAAAAAAATCTGCAGTTTTTACAATAGATTGTTGCTATGTAAATTAGGTATTCATAAAACTTGGTATCATTAGCAACCAAATGGAAAATATAACCCTCATAAGAAGAACAAACCTCATATTAATGCAAAAACTAATTATAGTGTATATTGCAAAATAGTTTGTTGCAAAGCAAAGTTAGGTATTCATAGCAACCAATTTTCACTAGAAACACAGACCTCCTATTAGTACTTGTCGTATCCTCCTGATACGATTATTATTGTAATTTATATTTAATATTTTATGTTTAAACGGCCCGAATATACGGTCGTTTTTCTCTTCTTGTTACATGCTTGTAGAGCATCGTGTTGAATATATACGCTGATAAATATCGTATTATTTTTGATATTTATAACATCTTAGTCAATAGAATCACTTACAAGATTCTACAGTACTCATGCCAAATTCTAATTAAATAAAACCTAAAATTTAGTTAGTGATTAATTTTGTCCATTAAAAGTGAACTCCGTCCCACTGTGTAACGTAATAAATGTCGTTACTAATAGGTTATTCACACGAGAGTACATTTAACAGAACATTTCTTGGAACATGGAATATAAAAAAATATAGTATAACTTCGCCAATTGCTGGCCATTAGCCATATACTAGCCACTCTTTGATCCTTTCTCCACAGAAAGAAGAGGCGCTTGTTGCCTTTCGGTAATATTTAAACTCAATATTTTTATAGTAGTTGTGTAAATAACACCATTTCGGGAAAGTTTTAATCAGTAAAACAACTTGTGAAAAACATCAAAATAAAAGTAAGAAATTTACGCTTCGTTTTCTAACTTTGTAATCATTTTTTAGGCGTAGCAAGCATGGGCGCCAGCAGGGGAGTGTAAGTAGGTGCACCCCCCTAGGTTTTGAAAAAAAAAGGAAATGGAAAAAAAAAATCTATAACTGAATAAATCAGTTATTCGTAATTTACTG